ATGTATAAAAATTTCACATACTAGCTTCTTGGTTGACATCAGGATCTGCAAGAACGAAAATGAATATTTTTCGACATCACCTTGTTGAGAAGGATGAAATAAATAAAAGGCGATATGTGTGCTTATTCCAGAACTACTTAGATTAGATTCAAGTGATGTTCAGTGTATGATATGTCGTGATGTCCTGAGAAAGCCAATAGCGTGTCAAACATGCCAAGCTCCATTCTGTTCGACATACATCAATCATTGGCTTAGTGAAAGCCCTGGTCAGTGTCCGATGAGATGCAGCATATTCGTCCAAGGACCATGCCCTCGATTGATTATTAAACTCCTATCAAGGATGAAGATAATGTGTCCTTATCAGCCACATGATTGTAATGAGGTCAGTGATCTTCTTTCTACTGCTATTATTTCGTTCCAGAGGATAAACGTTTGGATGGCGTCTCCGACACATTTTTTCAGCATTTCAGCATCGTTTCAGTACCTCTGATGCTCAAATAATACTGATATGTCGGTGATGCCATAAAAGCGATTATCTCTTGCTTTCATCAGTGTGTCGTTCTGGCTTATTTCATATGAGGCACTTGATAAACATGAGGACTAATGTGATTATCAAACTCAACAATGTCCTGGTTGTCAAACACAAATGTTGAAAAAGGAGCTAATTAAACATGAGGGTGGGGGCGGGTGTGGGGGTGGGTGTCTTTGTTCTCTTCACCCACACCCACACCCTACCCACTGAAAAATGTTCACTGATTTCAATCAAACTATTCTGCAACAAAATCAAAATTATTAATCGATTTACAATCTCGATTTTACTGGAAAATAAGTTTTTTTAATCAAAAAATTAGACATTGAAGAATTAATAATATCAAATAATGGTTAAGTCATAATCAGCGATAATCAAAATTATCAGTCGATTTTAATTTTGATTTTGTTGCCGAATAATTTGATCGAAATCAGTGAACATTTTTCAGTGGGTACCAGGGAACTGTGGAGACAAAGAAGATTTTCATCACCGTCGTGGATGACTGAATCTGATGTCCCATGAGTTGCGATCCAAGTTGTTGCTTGTTATAGAACATTCCTATCTGATACAAATCTTTTTGGTCTTCTAAGGTAACAGATCGAACTGTCACCTTCTTGCCATTTGGATCTATGTATATTCGTTCAGTTGGGATTGTTCCCATAATAAGTAATCATCTTTGAACTTATCCAGAGCTTTTAAATATTTTCCCCAGTATGCATAACAGTGATCATCTAGATGTTTTTCATTATAGATTGATGAAAATAGTAAATCCTCCCAACACTGACAACGACATGCACGTTTTAAAAAAGTGAAATACAGATGATCAATACTTATACGCTGTGATTCATCAAATAATCGGAATATCCAAAATAGCCATGTGAAATGTGGTAGAACGAATGTGGAAAAGAGAACACGTCTGAGATGTGTAGATGATGTGCCACTTATTCTCCAAGAGTTCACTAAGGCAGTTCGTTGACGAACGATGAGCTTCGTCTTGTTAATGATATTTCCCCAACCTAACTCTCGTCGAAAGCCAATACATCAAGTACTTAAATGAGGTGATCCATTCCACTTTGTAGTCACCACAATGCACTTGAGGTAGAGGATTCGGATAACTAACCGCTCATACTGAGAACATGGCTTGTGTTTTAGAATAATTAATCGGTTGTACAGCTAGTATTGCATAGAATTCAAGTTGCTCAGACAAAGTATGTAAGCGGCGTTCCATATCTATGCATTGATCTTTAAATCTGATTCCTATTTGACCGGTTAGAACTTCTGCAAGATCATCTGCAAAGAAGAAGGACATTGCACCTGGTATAAAATCAGCCATATGACTATGGTATGTAATAAATTACGTCGGTGTAACAGTAGAGCCTTGGGGACCACCACGATTAATTTTGATTCATCTTAAAGGGCTGCCATGCACCTCAATCACTGTTTTACGATCACTAAGTCAAGTTCAAATCCAATTGATGAAGGCTGTAGGAATTTCTATTCTTGCAAGCTTTCCAAGACATCCTTCGAATCATAACTGTTCGATGAGCAGCAGTACACGTGTTTGTAATCTAAATCCAGCACGAAATCCCGATTGGTTATCTGGTAAAATACCTTGGTCATTTAAGATTTTTAAAAATCGATTATGAAATAATTTTTCTTGTACTTTCAGAAACAAATCGAGCAGAGAGATTGGTCAAGTTTGATCCGGTGAGCACACCGCATTTTTCTTTGCTAGAAATATCATTCTAACTTCTTTAAAATGTATCCTTCAGTAAATGAATAGTTGTATAGTTGTACCAGTAGATGCCAATAGTTGTGAGGTATTTTATCAAGTATAAATGGTGAAAGTCCGTGAATGTCAAGACACTTTTCTTTCTTTCTTGAACGTAAAATATTTACTATTTCTGGATAAGTAACCATCGGTATAGGTTCAGCTGCATTTTTCCATTGTACTGGAGGAGCATCGACATACGGATGTGGACGTATCACTACGGGTGCTTCAAATAATCTTTCATAGTGATCAGCTGTCATGTTGGCCATTATTTGTGAGTCTTTTATAATTTCTTCACACGGGGACAAGAATCTCCTCAATGATGAAGATACCAGATGAAAATGTCTTTTTGTTTTACCCCAAAACAGCCGAGATGTTTCACCTGACAGATGCCTTTCTTTTAACTGTTTGGCTAATTGTTCTTTTTGAAATTTTTTTAACTCGAAGCGTGCTAAGTTACGTAGGCGACGAGCTTCTTTCCGTAGTTCAATATCACCCTTCCGTTTAGCTTTGAATGCTAACGAGCGGCTCTGAGCCAGTAGTTTCACATGGTTCTGTGGAATAGACGGTCTAGCATGGTTAAGCTTAAAATGTTGTTGACATCTG